TAAGAGTTCATGTGATCTACCATCCAGTCTGTTCATATTCTTAAGTTTTTTCTCTACATGCTTTTTTTTTTAAAAAAGATTTATTTATTTATTTGAAATACAGAGTTACAGAGAGGCAGAGACAGAGAGAGGTCTTCCATTTGCTGGTCACTCCCCAGATGGCTGCAACGGCTGGAGCTGAGCCGATCTGAAGCCAGGAGCCAGGAGCTTCTTCTAGGTCTCCCATGTGGATGCAGGGGCCCAAGGACTTGGGCCATTTTCTGCTGCTTTCCCAGGCCATAGCAGAGAGCTGGGTTGGCAGTGGAGCAGCTGGGACTCGAACCAGCGCCCATATGGGATGCTGGCACTGCAGGCGGCGGCTTTACCCGCTATGCCTCAGCGCCGGCCCCTCCCCACATACCTTTTTCACGTGGTGTGTGTTGGTTCCTGATGCTTTTTCTGGAGACTCCTGGTCCCTCCCCTTCAGGGCATATGGCCCACACTGGCCTTGGTCTTGCAGAGGTGCCCGTCCAGGTCTGCGGGGGCCTTCACGGTTGTGGGCTTCGTTGCCCTGTTCCCTGAGCTCCTTGACGTCAGTCTGTCTGTGATAGAGCCTCTCGCAGACTCAGCTGAAGCGTGTGGAGTGGGGTGCAGTGTGTGACAGCTGAGCTTTAGCCCTCGGGACCTGGGATGTGGCCCGCTGTGTGTGGCCACTTGGTCTCCACATGCAGTTAGCTTCTTCCTCTTGACTGGGCGGTTGTGCTTTTAACACCAGTTGATAAGCTGGTCGCTTTATAGGGGCTTGCTGATCAATGAGGTTTTTCTGATGTTGTCACTTACATGTAAGGTCCTCAGAAAGTTCATGGAAAATTCCTTTGAAAAAAACTGCATGAATTAAAAAAATGTTTGCACCATAATATATCTTTTACTTCCATTTGTCCACAGACTTCTGTGAAGTTCCTGCATATGTTATTAGCAGACATTCTTGAGTAAACGACTTCACTCACCACTTGGGGCTGTTTGGTTTCTCTGGAATGTATCACCTCCTAGAGAGGCAGAGTAAGATTTCATTCTGTCTTTGGAGGCACCACTTTTCTAAGAGTTGGTTACTAGCTCTGCCTAGGAAGTAGCGAGTTTCAGTTCTCTAAAACCCTCGGTCTTATAGGTGCTTAAAGGTTACAACAGCCAAGTGACTCCTGGTGCTTTGTTGTATCCTTGGCCTGAAGTGTCCTTGATGATGTGCCCATTCTCTCGCCCACCCCTTGGAGTTGTCTGTTTACTTATTTGACAGGCAGATTAACAGAGAGATACTCCATGTGCTGGTTCATTCTCCAAAAGGCACAACAGCCAGCGCTGGGCCAGGCCAAATTGAGGAGCTAGGAACTTCATCCTTGTGTCCCATATGGGTGGCAGGGGCCCAGGTATTTGAGTGACTTTTCCACTGCTTCCCCGGGCACATTAGCAGGGAACTGTGTCAGAAGTGGAGCAGCTGGAACTTGAACTGGCTGTCTGATACGGGATGCCGGCATCACAAGTGGTGGCTTAGCCTGCTGTGCCACAACCCAGCCCCAGCTTCTGTGTTTTAAACAAAGGTACAAGCAGAGGGGAAAGTGTTTTGTACTTACACTGTGTGAAGTGGCTGAGAACAAATAGGAATAGATTTTTTTCTTTGAACTTGAGGGGGAAAAAGTAACCGTGGGCCACGTATACTTTAAAATTTTACTTTAATATATAAGATGGTTTTCTTGCACATCTTAGTATTCTTCATACTATAGAACAGTTTGATTGAGTATCGTCTGCCATGGGGGTGGTGCCGTATTGCAGCAGGCTGAGCTGCTGCTGGAAACGCCGGCATCGCCTGCTGGAGGGTGGTTTGAGTCCAGGCTGCTCTACTGCCGATCCCGCTCCCTGGTGATGCACAGGGAAGGCAGCAGAGCACAGGCCAAGTGCTTACGTCTCTGCCGCCCACGTGAGAGATTCAGATGCAGTCCCTGGCTTCTGGCTTCTGCCTGGCGCAGACCTGGCTGTTGCAGACGTGTCGGGGGTGAACCCGCAGATGGTAGATACCTCCCTCCCCGTCTCTTTCTCTACTGGTGTTTCAAGTAAACAAACAAGAAAACCCTTTGCCACTTGATAGCCTCTCTACCCATCAGGATCCTGCTTCTAGACCTTGTTTTTTCTGTTTATTTTCATTTTCTATGAAAATCAGAGAGAGATATTTTTCCATCCTCTGATCGACTTCCTAAGCATCGGAACAGCCAGGGCTGGGCCAGGCTGACCTGGGAGACAGGAGCTCCATCCAAGCACTTGAGCCATCATCTGCTGCCTCCTGGGGTATACGTCAGCAGGAAGCTGGCTGGGGGTTGCAGGGGCAATCCAGGCCTTCTGACAGGATGCAGGAGTACCAGGTGGCTGCTTAGCCCACCCCCGGACTTGGTTTTTCCTCTCTCTTCCTCGTCACCTTAGCCACTCCCCCCATCTAAACTTCTTTCCCCAGTGAGTGTAGCTGGAGTCAGGCACACAGCACTCCCTGCTAGCACACCTCTGCTCTCCCTAAATCACTCTTCATAGCTGGTCTCCAGCGGGAGACATAGTCACCTGTGGAAGCCCAAGGCTGGAGCTGTACCTCTGGGATCCCAGTGCCAGCAGTAAATACTTGAGGGCTGAGTTAGGGTGGAGTGCCGGAGGTGAGGTGGGTGACTGTATGCTGGGGGGGTCTCTCCCTCTCCCCCGACTCGTAACCGTGTGGTCTTGGATGCTCTCACTGGCTCCCTCCTTCCTGCTACTGTCTGGACGTTGGCTGTCTCTGCTCCCAGGGGGAGTTCTGGCTCCGGCGCTGGCCTTGCCTCTCGGCCACTTTCCAGACCTGCCCTTCTGCTCTCACCTGAGTCTGGGACTGCTGCTGCCGTGTCCGCAGCTTATTTCCCAAGCCAGTGTAGGGCTCTCTTCACCTTTTCCTACATTTTGGCCTCTGACAGGACTTTCTTACTGTGGCAGGTGCAACCCTTAGAGTGAAAAATGCCTGTTCCCACTGAGAAAAAAATCCCTCTGCATGTTTTTACTTGTGTTTACATGTCTGTCGTAAGAGAGGCTTAAATAGAAGGACACTTTCCTTTGATTCCCCACAAGAAAATGAATGAATGATAGTGGCAAAATGTAGTGTAAAATAATATGTTCAAGGGCTGATGCTGTGGCCGCCTGCCATGCCAGCATCTCGTGTGGGCGCTGGTTCAAGTCATGGCTGCTCCACTTCTGATCCAGCTCCCTCCTGAGGCGCCTGGGAACGCAGCGGAACATGGTCCAAGTCCTTGGGCCCCTGCACCCATGGGGAGACCCCGATGGAATTCCTGGCTCCTGGCTACAGTCTGGACTAGCCCCAGCCATTGGGGGCCATTTGGGAGTGAATCCATGGATTTAAGATACCTCTCTCTCCCTGTCTGCCTGTCTCTCTTTCTCTGCCTTTCCTTTTCTCTGTAACTCTGCCTTTCAAATCAACACATAAATTTTTTTAAGAAACTATAACATGAAAGTACTGTAGAGGGGGAACAAGGTCATGAAAGGAGCGAGGCTTGGTGTGGTGCCGCCGTTTCTCCTTTCAGTCTCAGAGTTCTAGCAGTGCCACGTTGGGCAGAGCACCCGGAGGTTCACAGCCTCCGTGGTCCATCGGAGCCATTGTGAGGAGGGCCCCGGGAAGACTTTGCCATTTTCACTGGAAGACAAGTGGAGGTTGCTAGCTGTAGTGACTCTCCGTCTTGGATCTGGATTCAGGCACCTTTCTGCATAGTATGACACCAGCTGCTTAAGAAATAAGGTTGTTTTGGCTGGCACTGTGGCTCACTTGGCTAATCCTCCACCTGCGACGCCAGCACCCTGGGTTCTAGTCCCGGTTGCTCCTCTTCCAGTCCAGCTCTCTGCTGTGGCCCGGGAGGGCAGTGGAGGATGGCCCAAGTGCTTGGGTCCCTGCAGCGGCATGGGAGCCCGGGAAGAAGCACCTGGCTCCTGGCTTCGGATCAGCGCAGCGCGGGCCATAGCAGCCATTAGCGGAGTGAACCAACGGAAGGAAGACTTTTCTCTCTGTCTCTATCTCACTGTCTATAACTCTACCTGTCAAATTTAAAAAAAAAAAAAAAAAAAAAAAAAGGATGTTTTAGGTCATGCATTTAACAAATAACAGCTTTCAGAGGTGTGGTCTCTGAAACATGGATCAGACTTTTTTTTTTAATTTTTTTAAATTTTTATTTATTTATTTTTTTGACAGGCAGAGTTAGACAGAGAGAGAGAGAGAAAGGTCTTCCTTTTTCCGTTGGTTCACCCCCCAAGTGGCTGCTACGGCCGGTGCGTTGTGGCCGGCGCACTGCGCCAGTCCGAAGCCAGGAGCCAGGTGCTTCCCCCTGGTCTCCCATACAGGTGCAGGGCCCAAGCACTTGGGGCATCCTCCACTGCACTCCCGGGCCACAGCAGAGAGCTGGACTGGAAGAGGAGCAACCGGGACAGAATCTGGCGCCCCGCCTGGGACTAGAACCCGGTGTGCCGGCGCCGCAAGGCGGAGGATTAGCCTAGTGCCGGCCCTATGGATCAAACTCTTGAACTCGGAGAATACTAGATATGTTTGTAAATAAACTTATAACTTGAATGCTTAAAAAAATATGGTGTTTAGGGTAAAAATTTACTTTGAAGTACTTTTCACTTTTTTGTGTACTCATGAAGCTGGTGGACATTTTAGAATCATGACTGCATTTGAACTTTGCTTACAGAAGCAAAATGTAGAAAATTGCTTGTTGGAGAGTCTCATCTGTTTGCCTCTTATAAAACTATGATTTTAAGTCGAGTCATTTTCAGTCTTTTCCTCGAGTTTGATACTTGAGGAGTATTCTGTCAAAGTGTGCTGATGGCTTTACTTTCATTTCTCTTTTAGCATGTAGATTTCTTAGACACCAGTAATCTCATCAGGTTTTAATGGCATATTTACCTTCTGATTTTGCCTAACGCTCTCTCTCCCCTTTTTCTCTCCCTTTTTAAAGGACCTTAAAGGCTTTGATCCAGGAGAGAAGTACTTTTATAACACATCATGGGGTGATGTTTCTCTCTGGGAACCTTCTGGAAAGAAAGCGGTATGTATTTTTTGTATTTTTTGTGTTTCCTCAAGTGAAGAGTAAGTGTAACTGTCGCCTAACATCATATAGTTGGAGGTTGCTGGTGAGTGAGTGGAGAGGAGGCATAACAAAGCTATTCAGGGAGAGACAAAGGAAATGAAGTTTAGTGTTTGGTCACGCTGTGAGAGTTTGCTGTGTGTAGAGTTGATGCAGTGATGTTACTTGTCTTTATAAGATGTCACTGGTATGTGACAGACCTTTAATTTAATAATTGTCTTGAATAAAACAATGCCGTAGTACTGAGTGCATAATAGTCATGAGCTGTGACAGCTTTCAGTCAGTGGATGGCTGTGCGTGTGACATCGGTCCTGAAAAATCCCTGTGAGCTAGCAGTGTGTGGCCATTGTGATATCGTCGTAGGACAGCGCGTTACTCCTGTGTTTGTGGTGGTGTTGGCCTGCAATTTGTGTGAAAGTGTAGCACATACAGTCAGGTACAGTATCACCTGCTAATGGTGATAAACAGCCGTGTTGCTGATTGAGCTACAGTCACGTGTCACTGAACAGGGACATGTCTGAGAACTGTGTCACCTGGTGTTCGTCGTCGTATGGATTTCACAGAGTGGTTCAGCCTGCTGCCCAGCTAGATTGAGGTGTAGCCTCCTGCTCTAGACTAAAGCCTGGACCCTGTGGTCATAGTACTGAGTAGCGAAGGCAGTTGTAGCACAGTTGTGTATCCAGACACAGGAAAAGGCACAGTAAAGCCTGGTATAGAAGGTCAACAGTGGCGTACCTGGTAGGGCGCGTGCCGTGAGAGGAGGTTGCAGGACCAGAAGCTGCTGTGGTGAGTGTGCGAGTGAGGCTGGGGCTCCTCAGGGAGCCTGGAAGGTGGGCTTCAGAGACACCGTGTACTTGGTTGCACTCAATATGTAAAAATACTTTTCTTCAGTGATGAAATAGCCTTAGCTTGCTGTACACATCATTTTTTATTTCCTTATGCTAAAAGCATTTTCTTCTTCTTCTTTTTTTTTTTAAGATTTATTTATTTGCTTGAAAGGCAGAGCATCAGAGAGGGGGAGCGGGGGATCCTGTGTCCTCTGGTTCACTCCCCGAATGGCTGGGGCTGGGCTACCTCCTGGGACACCAGAGCACGAATTTGAGTCCCAGCGGCTCCACTTCTGATGCAGCTCCCTGCTAATGGCCTGGGCAAGCAGTGGAGGATGGCCCAAGTGCTTGGGCCTCTGCCACCCATGTGGGAGAACTGGGTAGAGTTCTGGGTTCCTGGCTTTCATTGCAGCCATTTCGGGAGTGAACCAGCAGATGGAAGATCTCTTTCTAATCTCTCTCTCTCTTTCTGTTGCTCTGCCTTTCAAATAAGTAAATAAATCTTTTTTTGTTTTTCTTTTTAAAAGATTTATTTATTTATTTTAGAGGCAGAGAGAGAAGTTTTCCATCCACTGGTTCAGTCCCCAAATGGCTGCAAAGGCTAGAGCTGGGCTGTTCTGAAGCCAGGAGCTTCTTCTGGGTCTCCCCACATGGGTGCAGATGCCCAAGCACTTGGGTCATCTTCTACTGGATTGGAAGTGGAGCAGCCAGGTCTCAAACTGGCACCTATATGGGATGCCGGCACTGCAGGTGGTGGCTTTACCTGCTATGCCACAGCTTCAGTCCCAGTAAATAAATCTTAAAAAAATCTTGACTTATGAATCTTAGGCCTTATTGATTTTTCTCATCCAATTTCTTTATCCATTAATGCAATATACAGTATGTATAGTGACACACGTTTCATCAATACATTTTAAATATATTTTCATTTTATTTGAAGGACCTGGGGAGACCTTCCATGTGCTGGTTCACTCCCCAGATGCCCACAACAGTGAGGTGGCTGGAACTCAACCCAGGCTTCCCATGTGGGTGGCAGGGGCCCAAGTACTGAAGCTGTCACCTGCTTCCTCCAGGGGTACCCATCAGCAAAAAGCTGGGAGGAGGTGGAGTAAGAACCAGGCACCACGGAATGAAATCTGGGCCTCCCAGCCCTGCTCCAGCCTTGTGAATTGGTGCTGTAAGCAGGCTTAGGTTAAAAGAGGGGTGAAGTTAGGGTCCTTTTTTTTGGAGAAGTTTATGTTCTTGTTGGGTAATAAAATGTTCAATAGCAGTTCGAAATAAGAGATGACTTGTGAGACAGGTGCTCATTCCGAAGAAGGAGCAAGAGTGGCTGCCTGCGTGCTCGAGCCCGGGACCTGCCAGTTTGGGTGTCTGTGTCCCCTGGTGTCAGCCGTCTCTGGGGAAACAGGAACAGGAGCAGTTTCCGGAGACGAGGCAGGAAAGCTGTGTGACTGCGCGGAGTTGTGCGCACACCACTGTGGGGACCTCAGGGAGCCCCGTCAGGCCTCAGGTGAGGAAGCTTTCTGTGGGGCCTTGGGGACACAGCGTCCAGGGTCAACGCAGAGACAGCACAGGTCCTACAACGACTCCTCTTCTCCGGCTGTTTTTCTTTCCCAATTGCTGGTGAGCTGATGGTCACGCGCACGTTCTTTCTGGCTGATCATTGTCCTAGAACCTGGACATCCAGGTCTCTGTGAGCTTCTGCCTCATTCTCTGGTGAGCGCTAGGAGTGGATGGCTGGGTTGCACAGTGAACTAAGTGTCTGCTATCTCGATAAGCAAGTGCCATGCCCTTTCTCTTTCCCACTAGCAGTGAGAGTCCCCTTGCTCTGCATCTGCAGTAGATTTGATGATGGCAAGTTTGTCTGTTGACTTAGCTATTTTCTTGTTTTTAAGTAGATTTACAGAGAGAGAGGGAGAGACAATGAGATCTTTCATCTGCTGGCTCATTCCTCAAATGGCCACAACAGCCAGCGCTAGGCCAGGTAGAAGCCAGAAGCCTCTCCTGGGTCTCCCACATGGATGCAGGGGCCCAGGCTCTTGGGCCATCCTCTGCAGCTTCCCCAAGCGTGTTAGTGGGGAGCTGCATTGGAAGTGAAGCAGCCAAGACTGGAACCAGCACCACTGTGGGATGCCAGTGCTGCAGGCGGCCACCCAACCCACTGGGCCGCAGTGCCAGCCCCTGACTTGGCTGTAGAGTTCCCCAGTTAACCCAGGTTTAATATCTCCCTTGGCTTTTAACTGGCACTTCATTAGTGACTGGTGATGGTGAGCATATTTTCATCTGGTTATTTCAATTACAGTTAAGAAATCTTTGCTTAGGGGCCGGCTAGTTCACTCCCCGAATGGTTGCTACAATGGGACTGGGCCAGGCCAAAGCTAGGAGCCAGGAGCTTCTTCTGGGTCTCCCACATGGGTGTAGGGGCCCAAGCATTTGGGCCATCTTCCACTGCTTGCTTAGGTGCATTAGCAGGGAACTGGATTGGAAGTGGGGCAGCTGAGAGTTGACCTGGTGCCCATATGGGATGCTGGCGCTGCAGGCAGTGGTTTAACCCGCTGTGCCATAATGCTGGCTCCCAGATATTAAAATATTTAAAAATGTGTTCTCAGAACCAGTGAAAGAAGGTTTTTTTTTTTTTTTTTTTGAATTGTATAGTCTGTGGTTGAGGCTCTTGCTTGAAGTTTATTCTAGATCCTCCCACAGTAATAGAGTGTGGGCTTATGCTGACTGAGAAGATGACAACGTGATGTTGAACATATGGGATAAGTTTTCTAACCTGTAAACCAAAAGGAAAACCTGCCTGAGTTAGGAGCTACGATGACAGAACCTTAAGGGACAGGAATCTGTGTGTGTGTGCTGGAGAGATCATGAGAACAGATGTGTGGGAAGGGTCCCAGCCAACCTGTGGTCACTGTGATTGTGCCACAGCTGGCTGGGGTGCTCAGAAACATGCTTCCTCCTGAGCCTGGGATGGGGGCGCTAGATCTCCAGACGGCGGTGAGGCCAGCGGTCAGTGTCCACGTGTGTTCAGGTCAGCAGCAGCCGTGTGATGGCGCCGCAGCAGACTGCACTCCTCAGTTGGCTGGCCCAGGCTGCGTGTCTGTCTGTCTTGGGCCCTCATGAGATTCCATATGGTCGGCACTGTGTTCTGTGGCTGGACCCTTGCTTCTCAAGTAAATAAATGTTTACAAAAAGAAAAAAGAAAAGAAGTGGGATAAGGGGAGAAAATACTTTTCTGTTGTGGAAAATTAGCTGAGTTTGTGTTGGCCCGTGCAGTTAGGTCGAAGTACAGGACAGGTTCTGTGATTCTCACGTGACGGTGAATCCCGTCCACGATGAAGCTTCACTGGGACAGCTGCACTGGCTCCGTGGACGGTTTCACAGCCCGGGGGCAGCCCCGAGAAGTGCCACAGAGGCTGTGGAGTGTGGTGCAGGGGCCCCAGACACTCGTGTCTGCTCCTTTCCAGGGACAACTTGTAACCTTGCTGAGGAGGAATCCTCGTCCCCTGAGGAGTGATGGGGCATCTAGCGCCTGGAAGAAAAAGAGCTCCGCCCTCCTGGCCTGCAGACAGGGTGGCATCTGATGGTTTTATCGAACTGTGCTTAAGGCTTCATTTTCTCTTGACAGAGATACCGAACAAAGCCGTACTGTTGTGGCCTCTGTAAGTACTCCACAAAGGTGCTGACTTCCTTCAGAAACCATCTGCATCGCTACCACGAAGACGAGGTGGACCAGGAGCTGGTGATCCCGTGCCCGAACTGTGTGTTTGCTTCCCAGCCCCGCGTGGTGGGAAAGCACTTCAGAATGTTTCACGCGCCTGTCCGGAAAGTCCAGAACTACACTGTGAACATTTTAGGGGAAACCAAGTCATCAAGGAGCGACGTGATCAGCTTTACGTGTTTAAAATGTAATTTTTCCAACACTTTGTACTACAGCATGAAGAAGCATGTGCTGGTGGCTCACTTTCACTACCTAATTAACTCCTACTTTGGCCTGCGGAGTGAGGAGATGGGCGAGCAACCCAAGAAGGACGACGGGCTTTGTAGGGAGAAGGGGCCGCCCGACAGGTACTACTGTAAGAAGTGCAGCGCCCACGCCAGCAGCCAGGACGCGTTAATGTACCACATTCTGACGTCGGATATACACAGGGACTTGGAGAACAAGCTTCGCTCTGTGATCTCGGAGCACATCAAGAGGACTGGCCTGCTGAAGCAAATGCACATCGCTCCCAAGCCAGCCGCACGCGTGGCCATCCCCCGGAACGGCGGTGCCCCCCCTGGCCTCGCGGCCCCGCCTCCTTGCTTTCATCTTGCCTTGCCGCAGAAGAGTCAGAGCCCAGCCGTGGTGCAGCCGGTGACTGTGGCCCCGCCGGTGACCGTGGCCCCGGGCACTTCTGGGAGCCTTACGCATTCTCCGCCTGCCGTGGCTCAGTCCCGTGTGACTCTCGTCTCCAGCCCTCTGCCGGTGTGCCAGAGCAACCTCACTCTGCAGCCCTCGGCTCCTCAGCCCGTCTTTCTCTCTGCCGGGGTCCCACTTAGTAAGTCAGTGAAGCCTCCCGTGTTGCCCCTCAGCCAGCCAGTGGGGCCTGCCAGTAAGTCTGTGGGGCCTGGTGTCCTGCCTGTGACCCAGGCCGTCCGCCCTGGGGTCTTGCCCCTCGCCCAGCCTGTTGGGCCTAACAGACCTGCTGGGCCTGGCGTCCTCCCCGTCAGCCCTGCTGTCACCCCAGGGGTTCTGCAGGCTGTCTCTCCAGGGGTGATTTCTGTGAGCCGGGCAGTCCCATCCGGGGTCCTTCCTGCAGGCCAGATGACTCCTGCTGGAGTTATTCCTGGACAGACGGCGACTTCCGGGGTTCTGCCTCCTGGCCAGATGGTCCAGTCGGGGGTTCTCCCTGTTGGCCAGACCGCCCCGTCGCGAGTTCTGCCCTCCGCCCAGACAGTGCCGTTGAGGGTTCTCCCTGCGGGCCAAGCGGTGCCGCCTGCATTGCTTTCCCCTAACCAGACGGTCCCCTCAGGTGCTGTCCCTGTGAACCAGGGCGTGGGTTCTGGTGTTCTTCAGCTCGGCCAGCCCGTCATGTCAGGAGTTGTCCCCGTGGGCCAGCCAGTGCGGCCCGGGGTTCTGCAGCTGAGTCAGCCTGTCGGCACCGGCATCGTGCCTGTGAACCCGCCGGTGAGAGCCGGCGCGGCCCAGAGCACCACCTTCCTGACCTCAGGCTCCATTCTGCGGCAGCTCATCCCCACAGGAAAGCAAGTGAACGGCATTCCGACCTACACGCTGGCCCCGCTGTCCGTCACTCTGCCTGTGCCCCCTGGGGGCCTCACGACCGTCACCCCGCCACAGATGCCCATCCAGCTCCTGCCCTCAGGGGCAGCTGTGCAGACAGCCAGCTCTGTGCCCAGCCTGCCCTCCCCTCCCGTGCTGGTGGGGGCCGCCCAGAGCGTGTTTGTCCAGGCCTCTCCATCTATGCCAGACGCAAATCAGGTGCTCAGACAGGCCAAGCAGTGGAAAACCTGTCCCGTGTGCAATGAGCTCTTCCCATCCAACGTCTACCAGGTTCACATGGAAGTGGCTCATAAGCACAGCGAGTCCAAGACTGGCCAGAAGAGGGAGCCCGAGAAGCTGGCAGCCTGTGCGCCCTTCCTGAAGTGGACCAGGGAGAAAGTGGTCCGGTGCCTGTCCTGCAAACGCCTGGTCTCGGAGGGCGAGCTCATCCGTCACTTGCTGACGCACGGCCTGGCCTGCTTGTTCTGTCCCTGCACTTTCCACGACATCAGAGGCCTTGCGGAGCACAGCAAGACCGTGCACCTGGGGAAGAAGCAGCTGCCCGTGGATTACAGCAACAAAGGGTTCCAGCTAGATCTGGACGCCAGCGGCAACCTGCTCTTTCCCCACCTCGATTTCGTCACTGTCCTGCCCAAGGAAGAGCTCGGGGAGCGGGAGGTCTACCTGGCCATCCTGGCCGGGGTTCACTCCAAGTCCCTGGTGCCCGTCTACGTGAAGGTGAGGCCGCAGACCGAGGGCCTGCCCGGGAGCCTCGGCAAGCCGGCCCTGACCTGCCCCTTCTGCTTCGGCACCTTTGGCACCACAGAAGCCTATGAGCTGCACCTGAAGGAGAGGCACCACATCATGCCCACCGTGCACACCATCCTCAAGTCTCCAGCCTTCAAGTGCATCCACTGCTGTGGGGTTTACACTGGAAACATGACCCTGGCCGCCATCGCCATCCACCTGCTGCGCTGTCGCAGTGCGCCCAAGGACAGCAGCTCAGAACTGCAGATCCAGCCCGAGCTGATGGAGAACAGCCAGCTGCTCTTAGTCAGCGGAGAGGTGATCCACGATTCTGGCTTCCCTGTGAAGAGAAAGCTGCCCGAAGGCCACTCGGGGGCAGACGCCCAGCGGGATGGGGACGAGCAGCCCGCTACCCCGAATGCCGATGCAGCCCCCGGCCCAGAAAAGGGGGCGAGTGTTGTGCCTTCCAAAAGACAAAGGAATGAAAGCAGGACAGAGGTGCCGGCTGTCGGTGACGACGCGCTTCAGATTCTGGCGCTGGACCCCAAGAGATACGAGGACCGCTCCTACGAAAAGAAAAAGCAGTTCCTCAGAGATTATTTCCACAAGAGACCGTATCCGAGTAAAAAGGAGATAGAACTGCTGTCCTCGCTCTTATGGGTGTGGAAAATCGATGTGGCCTCGTTCTTCGGGAAACGAAGATACGTTTGCATGAAAGCAATAAAAAGTCACAAACCCTCTGTACTTTTAGGCTTTGATATGTCTGAACTTAAAAATGTTAAACATAGACTGAACTTTGAGTATGAACCAGAAAGCTTGTAAAAAAGCCCTTCTGAAGTGCTAGGTGACAGCCTTCTGTTGAGATTTAAATAGGTTGTTCCCGCACTGTGTTGACTTAATCAATTCCAGTGGTTGTTATGCTGCTCCTTAGATTTATTTCAGGTGCTCAGAAAGACCCCTGTAAGGAAGAGACTAGTTCTTTCAGATTTGTTTCCTACAGTTTGATTTGTAAATTATTTTGTTTTTTTCTGTCATGTAAATTAAATCTTTTGATATTTCATGCACGCCTTGTTTTCCCAGTAGTGTCAGTAATCTTATGACTAAACAACTGAAACCTGCACTATTTGGCTTTTTCTTTCCACTTAAGGAAATTCCTCTGTTCTCAGAAGCGTGAGTAACGCAGGTTGGGGCGTTGCTCTCCTGAGCGCCGCACGCAGCAGATGGTGCAGGGGGCAGGGGAGACCAGGCACGGACCTGGTGGGTGGTTCCGTGAGGGATGCTCCGACCGCACTGCCTCAGGCTGGCTTCTCCTTTGTAAGCCACTCACTAGATTGTAATTTTGAGCTATATTTTTTCAGGTTTGTCCTAATAGTTTTTTAAAAAATCATAATTCATAGAAAATCAGATGTTTGCATTTGTTAAGAACACATTGAACCTGAAGTCTAGGGTATAGCTCATAAATTGAGCTGCTTTACAAATGAAGTGACTGTAGGTGCGGAAATGCTTCCAGTGTGGACTTGCCCTCGGTGCAGTGACGAGTCATTGCCCCAGTCACCGCGAGACAGTAAATCTTTAGTGCCTTTAGAATAAACATTGAACACAACACACAAAAGTTCTTTCCTAACCTAACTGCTCTTAGTGGGGGAGGGCCAGGGTACTCAGGAAGGAAACTTTGCCCCTGAATGTAGTCTCTGATCCCAGCTGAGAGCAAACGTGGGCTCATGGGGGACAAGACCAACAGAGGAGCAAGACCTCGGTCGTCTCCGTGGTTGGTGCCGTAAGTCTGAGGCGGTTTCCAGGGAGTAACACTGCTGGGCGGGTGGACGGGCCTTCTGTAGCCCAGGTGTCCAGGTGAGAGGCTGCGGGGTTGCTAATGAGTCGCCGTCGGCTCTGTCCTTTGGATGTTAAACCTCGCTTTTTTTCACACAACGTGAAGCACAACGCCAGGACCAGTCATGGGGTCACCAGTTAGCCTGTCTCACCGTCTTCAGGCAGAAGTACCTGGAGGGCGTGGCCGCTTCTGAGTCGCTGCTCTGTGGACTTGGAAGCCACACTCGCAAGTCTGCTGCATCGCACGCCTGAGGTGGCCGTGAGGCTGGTCTATGATTGTCCGTGTCTTGTAAATCCAGAAAGAGAGCTTGTGGGCTTTTTTTCTTAACCTGTTTCCAGAGTGTCTATTTTGAATTAAAATTTGTTATACCAATGCAAATAGGACTGTTTAATTCTTTGTTAACAGTATGCTAACTCAGCAGTAATCTAAACATGGAAATAGGCACATTGCCTGTCATTGCATGACACAGAGCTGAGGATGAGGGTCAGAGCGTCCTGCTGGGGACACCCCGAGTCCCAGGAGGGTAGTAGCTGGGACCTGAGTTTTGTCTGGCGCTCGCAGTGCCTGTCCACGTGGAGGTGCTGGCGAGGGGCAGTCTCCTGTCTGCTGAGGGCTGACCCTTAACCTCTGCAGTGGGCAATAGAGCTGCTGGGCCTCAGCACTGCTGGTGTTTGGCGCCAGGTCCTGTCTGCCCTGTCACCCAGAGTCCTGCTGAACTTCTGTTAACTACGGAACACACATCTAGGAAGCACTTGGTGGACTTTTTAAATTTTAGTTACCAGAACAGAAAAAATTGTATTCTCTTTCTGGTTGTTTCATTACTAATTCCTAACTTTCTCTTTGCTGGTTATAAGGGGCTACTTTGTAGCACACCTGTTAATTTAGGTTTCTGCAGCTTAGGTGTTCAGATTTGTGGATATTAAGTCATAGCTACAGAATTTGTCCTGATTGTTGTTACAAGTTTAAAAAGTCATTTTAGCAACAGGGAAGCTAAAGGATCTGCACTGACAGGGAAGCAGCTCTGCCCAAGTTCCCTCTGTGGTCCCAGACCACCCGAGTGGAGTGGAGCCGTGTGACTCGGAGCCCGATGCTGACGACACAGAGTGTTGTGCCTCAGGACTGCTGTCTCGAGGCTGCTGTCCCAGCTGAAATACAGCTCAGCCGGTTTGAGCAGAAGTGCGCCATGTTGTGAAATGACTGACTTAGCACTCTGTATGGTGTCTGAGAGGCCTCCTAAGTGCCCATAGCAGCCAGGGCTGAGCCCGCCCACAGCGGACACTGGAAGCTCCATCTGGGCTTCCCACACTGGAGGCAGGCACCAATACTGGATTCCCACCACTGCCTCCCGGAGTGAGCGTGAGCAGGGAGCTGGAGCCGGGAGTGGCGCCGAGACTTGAGCCCAGGTGTTCTGAAATGGGACCAAGCAAACGCCGGCACAGCCACACATTTTGAGAGAGAAATTTGTACAGTGAAAATCAGTTTTAAAGAAGGCACTCCTGGCCAGCGCCGTGGCTCACTAGGCTAATCCTCCGCCTTGCGGTGCCGGCACACCGGGTTCTAGTCCCGGTCGGGGCGCCGGATTCTGTCCCGGTTGCCCCTCTTCCAGGCCAGCTCTCTGCTGTGGCCCGGGAGTGCAGTGGAGGATGGCCCAAGTGCTTGGGCCCTGCACCCCATGGGAGACCAGGAGAAGCACCTGGCTCCTGGCTTTGGATCGGCACAGTGTCGGCTGTAGCAGCCATTTGGGGGTGAACCAACGGAAGGAAGACCTTTCTCTCTCTCACTGTCTAACTCTGGCTGTCAAATTAGAAAAAGAAAACGAAGGCACTCCTGTGCCAGTCCTCGTGAGCCCCCACCAGCAGCGTTTTTTTAAGAAGGGAAACCGCTCTTTCCGGAAGGAAAGCCTTCGGTGCGAACTTGGAATCCGAGGAGGAAGAGGCTGGAAGCCCACTTGGGCAGCCGCATGGAGACGCACAAACCGTAAGGTCGTACTCTGGAGTAGAAATTTTTTTCAAAAATTGTGTCGTCTGTAACCTGTGCTGTGAAAAGCAGGATGATGTCTGGTTCACCGTCTCCCGAGGGTGAGAGCTCGCAAAGCAAGCAGCGCTGGCCCGTGGGCTCCTGCATAGGCACAGGCGGAGGTGTGCAGTGCGCAAAGACCTGCGTTTCCCAGCCCCTGCCAAACGTCTGCTGCAGTGAGACTCCGCAGCTCGGGTGCCCGTGCACGCGTCTTAGCAGGACGCCGGGAGCCGCGCACGCGCGTCTTGGAGGCTTTGCTAGGTGAGCGCAGGCCATCACTGCAAGGCAGGGCGGTTTTGTTGTTATCAGTTCTATCTGGGTTTTATTTGTGCTTTTCTAATTAAATAGGATAAGTAGGTGCATCAGGAAGGCAACGTGACCAGCAGGAGGGGGCAGAAGTGAGCGCACCGGCCGTGGGGCTCCGGGGTCACTGGTGAGGCCTCGTCCGCCTGTCCGCCTGTCCTGTCCTGTCCTCTCCTCTCTGCCCGTCCGCCTGTCCTGTCCTGTCCTGTCCTCTCTGCCCGTCCGCCTGTCCTGTCCACCTGTCTGTATCCGCCTTTGGCCCACGTGAGGTGCCACAGTGCTGTGCAGCATGGACATTGCTGTTTCTTTCCACAGGGGTGCTGAGTGGTAAGTGGATCAGGGCCTGGTGCCGCCAGCTTTTCTAGCCATATCCTGGCTATTTACTTCAGTTCTTTGGCTTCTACATAAAATTCCATGTTTGATTAATTTGTAAATTAAATTAAAAGTGAAAATTGAGGCACTAAAATAGATATATTGCTACTGAAATGTTGAATGTAGTTTCAGTATTTTAAAAACTAGCATGAAAAGCAAAATTCAGTGTGAGGGACCGTCAGGACGCTGCAGCTGGAGCCACGGCCCGGGACGCCCGCGCCCCTCGAGGACTCTGGCTGCTCCCCTGCCTCCTGGAGGCTGGGAAACACTTGGGCCTCTGCATCTACGCGGGAGACCCAGGTGGAGTTCCGGACTCGTGGCTTCTCCCTGGCCTACACCCGACTGCTGTGGCCATTTGGGGAGTGAACCAGTGGATGGAAACTCTGTGTGTCTGTCATCTATCCTTGATTCTGCCTTTCAGGTTTGAAAAATCTAGTACAAGGTCTGTAGTGGGGAAGTGATGATGTCTCAGGACATAGCAATGGCTGTAAGTTCTCGCCTGAGTCCCACTGTAATCTTAGATCCACTTTTAGCAGTGCACACCGGGGCTGGCACTGTGGGGGAGTGGGTAAAGCCACTGCCTGCAGTGCTGCTATCCTGTATGGGCGCCGGTTCTGGTCCCAGCTGCTCCACTTCCAGTCCAGCTCCCTGCTAATAAACCCGGGAGAGCAGAAGATGGCCCAGATCCTTGGGCCCCTGAGCCACAGGGGAGACCCGGAAGAAGCTCCTGGATCCTGGCTCAGCCTGGCCGTTGCAGCCACTTGGGAAGTGAACCAGGGGATATCTCTTTCTGTCTCTGCCTCTCTGTCACTCTGCCTTTCAAATTAATGAATAAATCTTAAAAAAGTGTACAACATGTTTTCCAAACACACACATCTTGGTTCCTGCACCAGAATTTCTGTCGTGTCTGAGAGACGGGGTGCCCTGCCTGTTCTGCGTTTGAGGGCCTGTGCCAAGCTCTCACCCATGATTCCCGTCGGGTGGGGGTGGGCAGGGTGGTTCTGTCTGCAAGAGAGAGAGAGAATAATAGGTCTTTTTCATTTCCTGGACAGTAGGTTAGTGAGCTGCTTGCCTGGGCGAGCTTGCCGTCCTAAAGGCAGACCGGACGGGCAGGGCCAGCTCAGTCCTGCCCGCCTAACGTGGGTTCGTCCCTGTCGGTTGTGGAATTCAGACGGCCGAGGACCGCTGCACGCCTCTGCAGCGCCGTCCTGCCTGAGCTTACGCCAGGGTAGACGCCGCCATTCCAGGTAGAATCTGATCTTCGTTACTCTTTCGTGTGTGTAGTTTCTGCAGTGTCAGAATTAGTATGAATGTTGAGTGGGAGTTGCAATGCCTGAGCCTCCTGTGTGTGGCTGGCACCGCCCACCAGGGCCTGCAGGCACGAGCCACCCTGGACGGCTCGGCGGGGGTGCTGGTTCCCTGTCCGGTGCTGACGGCACTACCCTAGCCAAAATGAGACAGTGAATCGCTCAAGTAACTGTTTTCTCTGCTGCACATTCAGTTGGCTTCTGGATGCTGGAGTGAAGGTAAAAGCCCAGTATCTTGGCGACTTAAATGCATGACTGTATCCTGCATTTAAACTACAGCAGCACTGGAGATCGGAACACGCTGGGACGATCCGTCAGTTCTGGGTAGAAGGCCCAGACCCCGCGTGAAGCTTTCCTCTCTGAAAAAAAAACTAGGATTAGCTAAATTTGTGCATTTAACTTAGGAACTGAAGTTTTAAAGTTTTTAACAGTAATGCAGAGTTGACAAGTTGAATGCTTATGGGGATTGCGAAGTAGAACTCCCATAATTCCCGTGTGACTCATGCCCTGTGCAGCCTGACGGGACCGAGCCTCCAGCATCTTCACCCCCGAGCGTGCGTACTGAGAACACACGTGGCAGCCGAGGCGCCGGGCGTGGCGTGTGGTGAGGGCCGGCCCGCGTGCTCCCCACGGGGCTCACCATGCACTTGCTCATTCCTGGCGCGTTCAGTGGTTAGGACGCAGAGCCGGGACGGCACAGAGCCGAGACAGCTGCCTCACGCCTGTGGTGGTGCTGGGCGATGGCGGGAGCTTCCTTCCGCGGGGCCAGCATGTTATGCTGCCCAGCGTGTCCCTGTGAGCCGCCCACCGGGTCTCTAAGGTCAGTGCTGAGCGTTTCAGTGAGAACGGGCGTGTTTGCGACTGTGTTACAGCGGACGGCCCTGCCTGTGCTCAGCTCTTGGTTCTGTGTGGGTCCGTGAGGGGCAGGCTACAGGTGGACATTTCTCACGGCTGTGGAGCTGTGTCCTCGTCCAGCAGCACTGGCTGGTTCCTGGCACCGTCCTCCCTGAACCCAGCCTCGGCTGGGTGACAACAGACGCCCATGCGGAACCGTGGGTGCAGTGGCACCGACGGCTGAGCCCCGCGGGCAGCACCGTGGCCTCTGCGTCCAGCCTGTGTCTGGCGTGCCCGGTCTCCAGCAGCAGAACCGCATCTGCGAGAGGCATGGCCAGGATGGCGGAGTCGCTTCAGGCGGATGCAGCCGTGAGGTCCAAGTGAGTCACAGGCCCGCTGCTGCCGGCTCGGCAGACACGGCCGCAGGAGCCTCTGGGACTGTGCCGAGGGAGCTGCAGTCAGGCCCCCTTCCATCTAGGAGGACGTCGGGTTCTGTGGGCTCTCCGGCCCCACTGCGTGGGTGCTCACATGTGTGGCCCTCCTCCACGTGTGTGCTCACGTGTGGCCACTTCCATGCATGTGTTCACCTGTGTGCCCCCTCCACGTGTGCTCACGTGTGGCCACTTCCATGCATGTGTTCACCTGTGTGCCCCCTCCACGTGTGCTCACGTGTGGCCACTTCCATGCATGTGTTCACCTGTGTGGCCCTCCTCCACGTGTGCTCATGTGTGCCCCCTCCATGTGTGCTCACGTGTGTGGCCCTCCTCCACGTGTGCTCACGTGTGCCCCTCCACGTGTGCTCACGTGTGGCCACTTCCATGCATGTGTTCACCTGTGTGCCCCCTCCACGTGTGCTCACGTGTGCCCCTTCCATGCATGTGTTCACCTGTGTGGCCCCCTCCATGTGTGTGGCCCTCCTCCACGTGTGCTCACGTGTGCGGCTTTCTCGCAGGGTGGGACTGGAAAGCAGAGACCAGGATGCACGGGCGCTGAGGTGAGAGCTGGTGCTCTGCTCCCTCTGCCAGCAGGGGCCAGCGTGGGCATCTTCTTTAGAGCTTTGGGGTGTACGTGGAGTCTGGTTGGGGACGTGGAGAGGTTGTGGCCTTGCTTGGGCCTGAGCTGGCCCCAGACAATGCCCGGGCGCTAGGACCTCCCAGCGAGCAGGTGCAGCCACTTCGCACCTGCTGTTGCTCAGCCTCGGAAATGCACTCTCTCGCCCTCTGCGCCATTTGTGTGGACGCACTGACCGCTGACCCTGGTGGGAGCGGGAGGCGGCCTGCGCGGGCATGGGCGTGGTAAGCGGTTGCTGGCAGGCGTCCGAGGTCTGCTCAGGTGACCCCGTAGATGGAGCGAGGAACAGGATGCTTAGCGGCTTGCTTTCCGTGGCTGCTGGCGTGTCCTGTCTAGGACACAGCAGGGAGGTGCACTGGCCGCTCTGTCTGCGCGGGCAGACAGGACAGAGCCCCGGACGGATGCAGCATCCTCTTGCCGGACTTCTGCGGCTCAGCACTGCCCAGCACTGCTTCTGGAGGCGCTGGGGGTGTCGCCGTGCGTGAGCCCTGGCCTCCACCTGCAGGCGAGGGCACCCATGGCACCCTGCTGCTGCAATCTTCAGTTCCTGGAAAGTGTGAGGACCTCGTGGCTCAGGGCTCCTCGTGCTAAACGAAACCACCAGACGCTCAGCACTGGAGGGAGGACGACCCGGGGGAGGGAGCTGTGTTGCTGGAGGAGGAAAAGTGCCGGCTACCACCCAGGGGCAGGGAGCGGACGCATCCTCTGTAGCCGTGGGTTCCTGACGAGGGTCCCCTCGCACATGTGGCCACTGCGCTGCTTGTTGAGCTACGGAAGCCTGAGGTATTGACTTGTTTTCAGAGCCTGACCCTCGTGTGTCACTGCTCTCTCTAGTCTGGGTTACAGTGCAGGATGGTGTGTGGCTGTGACCCTGACCCTGACCCTCCGAGAGATGTGATGTCCCTCTCTGGTCTGGCTGTGACAGTGTGATCCTGACCCTGATCCTCCGAGAGATGTGATGTCCCTCTCTGGTCTGGCTGTGACAGTGTGATCCTGACCCTGATCCTCCGAGAGATGTGATGTCCCTCTCTGGTCTGGCTGTGTGGCTGTGACCCTGACCCTGACCCTCCGAGAGATGTGATGTCCCTCTCTGGTCTGGATGTGTGGCTGTGACCCTGACCCTGACCCTCTGAGAGATGTGATGTCCCTCTCTGGTCTGGCTGTGACAGTGTGATCCTGACCCTGATCCTCCGAGAGATGTGATGTCCCTCTCTGTAATGTGATGTCCCTGATGTCTGGCTGGGGGAGGCCCTAGCATTTTCCAGATACACTTGCCGTGTTTTGAACACGAGTCTCAATACCCCTCGCTGCCTGCATAGGGCCCAGCTGCTTCTGGGTCTGGCAGCAGGTGTGTGTGGCCTCTGCTCACATGTGTGTGTGCATGTCACACTGTCACATGTGTCACACGTGCCTGGCAGTAGTGCTAGACCTGTGGGCTGCATGGGGCGAGTGGCCAGCTACTTGCTGAGGATGAGATGAGGTGACGGACCCTGGAGCTCCGGCCAGCGCATTTCCTCGGGGACCTTGGCACTGGCTGCCGGCACTGCGTCCATACTATGTGGTGTGCGTCCATTTGGTGATGGGGCGTTAGACGGACCGGGCACATTTAGAACTTCATTTTCTCAAAAGGACTTAAAGAAGCCCTGTGCTGTGGTCTGCCATCCATCTTCTCACGTGCAAGGGCCTGCAGTAGGCCGGCGCCGCGGCTCACTAGGCTAATCCTCCGCCTGCGGCACCGGCACACTGGGTTCTAGTCTGGGTCGGGGTGCCGGATTCTGTCCCGGTTGCCCCTCTTCCAGTCCAGCTCTCTGCTGTGGCCCGGGAAGGCAGTGGAGGATGGCCCAAGTGCTTGGGCCCTGCACCTGCATGGGAGACCAGGAGAAGCACCTGGCTCCTGGCTTCGGATTGGCGCAGCGCGCTGGCTGCAACGCACCAGCCGTAGCAGCCACTTGTGGGGTGAACCAATGGAAGGAAGACCTTTTTCTCTCTCTCTCTCTAACTCTGCCTGTCAAAAAAGAAAAAGAAAAAGTCTGCAGTAACGCAGTAATGGGTAAGCATGCCGTGACCCAGGCTGGTCGCCGCGGTGGTTGCTTGGGGGGTGCAGGCGGCTGTTGTCAGAGCAGGAGACTCCTCCGCCTCCAGGGCCTGGGTGCCGGGCCTGGCTGGGGACGGCCCTGGAGGGAGGCTCTCATCGCTGCGCCAGCCTCTCTCCACTTCCCGGCTTCCCCGCCCGGCCTCACCGGATGCCCAGCCAGGGGGCGCCCAGTGTTGGATGTGAACCCCTGACCGGCTGTGTAAGGAGCGCCTTCCCCCAGGCACCGGGACGGACACCGGCCGAGTTGTGCTCTGGGGGTCTCATGCTTCCTTTATGGAGAGCACACTGACGTACATCAGGAATGCAGTTATCAACGCAGAAGCAGAAGAGGTTTTATTCTGACATATAAAACAAAACACAGTTTTTTTTAAAAGAAAAAAGATAATGGGAGAAACACAGACTTGGGTAGAAAAATACACTCGAGGTGCTCCCAGCAGCTCGAAACTAAAATCCTGGCCAGCAGCACGTGGACGTCAGGGTGAGCCTCTTTGTTTCTTTAAAAAATGATTCACATTGGAAGGAGCAGCTGTGTCCCAGGTCCCTGTCAGGCGTCCAGAACCTGCAGCCCCTCAGCTAAGGATGGGAACTCATGCTGGCGAAAGCCCCGCCTGCCGGCCGCCACAGGGGTCCTGCACCACTCAGAGCCCAAGCAGGGGGCTGGGGGTCCTCGCTGAGACCTGCAGGGGCAGCTCTGGTCTTCCCTGCGCGCTCAGACCACATCAGACACCTGTGCAGAGACCATGGTGACAGCAAAGCTACTCTGCCCGAGACAGCTTCCCAGAGGCCCAGGACAGGTTCAGTTCCCTGTGGCACGAAACCAGGATAGTCCTGCCACTGACCAGCAGGTGGCACTGCGCCACAGGGCACAGCCACAGGCAGAGCTGGCCCAGTGACCTACAAAAATATTTTTACCTGTATTTATAGCAAAGATTTATTTGGTCAAAGGTTAGTTCTCAAAGTATAAAAGTAACTTTCTCCCTGACATTTATCCAAACAGAAAACACTGTAAAAAACTTAATTTGATCAAACAGGAATGTTTAAAATCACTTAGTATGTAAATGTAAGGTCGAAGAGAAGTGACAATAAATTTAATATTTGTTAAAAATAAAGTCCCAGGTGACCTGTTAACAGTGAAAGAACAGGAGCTCCCACCGACCGCCGCTGTGCGCACAGCCTTCTGGACACCGTCCACGCTTCTCCCCGAGGGCAGCCCCGGGCCCTCCTCGCACTGGGACAGTGGGCGACTCGCCCCCGTGCCAGGCGAGGCCGCGTTCCTTCTCTGAAACGCCGTCCCTGGTGCCAGCTGCCCCTCGGCCACCCCGACGCCTGCAGCTGGTGGGAGCACCGGGACAGGCCGTGCCGCACCGCCCACCACCGGGGGTCTCTGTACCAGTGAAGTTGGAAACATGGATTTGACCATCTTAAAAAAGTAATTTTAAAGCTTCATCTTAAAAAAGGAACTCTGCATCGACCTCCTCAGTCCCTTGGCAAAGATGCCAGAGCTGCACCCGGCTGGCGTGTGTGTGTGTGTACACGCGTGTTTGTGGTAAGTTCTGTAGGGAAATGCTATAAAAATAGTGTTGAAATAGAGTAGGAAGGTGTGAAGTATACAATTCTTCTTCTTTAAAATTGGCATAAGAAGTTAAAAACGTTTCTCCTGGGCATGTCAGTCCGGTGTGGTCAGCTGGGCCTAGAGGGTGACGGCGGGCCCATGCTCCTCCACCCCGCCCTGGGGGAAGGCCAGGCTGTGGCGGGGGTCCACCTTCAGGGAGCTGAGCAGTTTGTGGATGCTCTCTCGTCCGGAGCCGCTCAGGGCCAGGTCCCGGTGCAGCCGGTGCGCCAGGCTGGTGCCGTTGGCCCGGGACAGGCTGCCCGCGGGCGGGCCCTGCGTCTTGCGGTGCGGGGGCTCCAGGGCGCCCTCGATGACGATGTCGGCCTCCTCGTCGCTCTCCATCTCGTCGGGGTGGAAGTTCTGCAGGACGTGGGCGGCCGGCAGGCCGTGGTGGCCGGTGGCGCTGTCCGAGGACTGGCCGGAGCTGCCGGACGCTCGGCTGCCGCGGACGACGTTGTTCCTCTGGTTGGCGGGCTTGACGGTGACGATGAGGTTGTGGCTGTTGGCGATCATCATGTCCGTGACCTGGTCCAGCGTCTTCCCGGCCACCTCGATGCCGTTCACCTCCAGCACCTCGTCGTTCACGGCCAGCAGCCCCGTGCTCTCGGCGAGGCCCCCGGGCACCATGCGGGAGATGAAGATGCCCGGAACCTTCTCCAGCCCGTGCGGCGTCACGCGCACGCTGGCCCCGTCCCGGATGTAGAAGCCCAGCGGCTTCTCGCAGCCGTGCCTGTACAGCCGCACCCTGCGGTGCGTCTCGGGCAGGATGTCCACGTCGATGACGGAGGACACCGGGCGGAAGTCGTGGGGCGAGCCGATGCGCAGCTGCGCCCGCCGCCGGCCCTCGTCCCGCAGCGACACCAGCACCTTCTTCTTCCTGGGCAGCGAGCCGGGCCCGAAGCTGTCGTGCTCCGCCTCCTCTGAAACAGGAGAGGGGCGGTGAGAGGCCGAAGGGCAGCAGACGCGCTCCCGCCCGCCTCCCCAGCACCCGCGTCTGTGCTGGACCTCACGGGCTCCGGAGCCCGGTCCCCCGCGCCCGGCAAGCTGACCAACCGTGACCCAGGCTCGGACAGCACTCACCGGGCAGGCACAGAGGCCAAGTTCAAAGCTACTGTGGAGCCTGCAAACGGACCCCAAAGGGAAGTGCCTGGCAGCTACAGAGGTCGAGGGTCAGGCCCAGGGGGGTGCACACCTGAGCAGCTTCCAGGGCCGGGAGGCGGGGCCTGCGGGCTCACAGCTCCGCCCCCCACGGGAGCCTGGCAATGGACCTCTTGTCCTTTCTTTCTCACACAGACAGGGGCTCTAAATCAATCACTCGTAAAGACGTTTCCTGTTCCTTCCTGGGCGAGCAGTCACACATGGGGCTCGCAGGTCACGGCACGGAGGGTGAGTGCCCGGCAGGAACGGCCGTCGGCTCTGCCCGGCCGCCGGGGGTGCACCGCCTCACCCTAAAGGGGCTCTGCAGAATCAAACCTGCATCGCCCAAGTCAGCTTCCCAAAGGCTGAGGGGCGGGGGGAGCACACAGGTGGTGCTTGGAGCATCTTCTCACGGCAGAAACACATCTGCTGGTGCAGCCGCAGCCTCTGCCTGTGAGGCCGGCGTTCAGCGGCCGCGGACGACCAAGTGCGAGGGCTCCTGCCCTCCACGCGGGAGACACAGACAGGGCTCTGGGCTCCAGGCCAGCGCTGGCCGTTGGGCCATCTGGGGAGTGAACCAGCAGATGCAACCTCCTTGTCTCTTCCTCTCTGCCTTTCAAATTAATGTCATTAAAAACATTTGTGAACTTATTTCACTTTTAGATTACACCTCTTTTGCCTTTGATGTAGGGGGCCCCACGAGCCCCCTCCTGGACACTGGACTATGGGTCCAGGGTGTCAGCTGCACGTATGGGGCCAATTCCTCTGCTTCACCCATGAAAGCGTGGCCAGGGCACCCATGAGGCAGCCCCACGTCAACAGTCCTCATTTATGTGGCTGCAAAAGACCGAAGACCACAGATGAATAAAAATTAAGCCTCAGGCCGTGTCGGTGGACAGGAGAGGGCAGCGAGGCCTCCCTGGGCCAGTTTCCCCCGAAGGTGTAAAATGTCCCCTGACCCCTACCTCCTGACAGCACACAGGAGCCCTGAACCCGGGCGACCAGCCTGAACCCAGGCCTCGGTCATTTTGGGAGCCCCACTGTGACTTCTGGGACGGTGAGCCCAGGCTGACAGCTCTGGAAAGGGCGGTGCAGGCAAAACCCCCCCACCCCGGAGACAGCCTGGAGCCTGTCCCTCCCCACACACCTGCTCAGGGACTGACAGCCGAGGCACACTCACTCGGGCCACACGGAAACAGCAGCATTGGGAAGGACTTCAGAAGGTGGCAGCTGCAGTGTCCGCCTGGCTGCCCCAATCCAGCCCATTCTCCGCGTCCACATCTGGACACGGGGCAGGTGGGCCGTGCTTGTGTTTTGGAAACAGGTCTCCACCCTGGGCCAGCACCACCAGACGCAGCAGGTGCTTCCTGGGCCGTGTGGGGGATGTGGTCCCTGTCCCGAGTCAGCACGGGGCCAGGGTGAGGAAGGCCATCTTCCAGTCCATTACAAGAGCCGTTCAACACTTTGTCACAAACACACGGGAAGTGTTGGATGCTGAGGTCAGCACACTGAGGTGGGCTGAGAGGGCTGTGAGATGTTTCAGGTGAGGGGGCGGGTACAGTGGAGTTGGGAGAGGCACGGGCTTGCTCCCTGGTGGCCGAGGGGATTAATATCGGATGGCTCTCGGGCAGAAGGTGCAGGCCAAGTGGCAGCTCCTTTGGGAATGCGGGAGGTGGCCTAGGACCTAGGACCCGAGGCTCTTCTCAGCCAGCAGGAGCAGGTGCCCCTGTGATGGGAGAGGTAGAAGCTGATGGGAGACCCTGGGAGTTCCCCGTCCTGTTCCTGAAAGGGGCTTCCTTATGTAAAAAGTAACAACAAAAACACCTGATGGTTTTCCACAGGGCACCCCCAACAAAGCTGCCTGGGGTCTGCGCTTGTCACCTGGAAGCCCTGAGACCCGGGGTGGGAGCAGGACCTCCCCAGGGCGGGTGGTGCTGGCCAGCTCCTCGGGGCCCCACGCCCGGTCCCAGGTGAGGGTGGCAAGGGCAGCCACCCCCTTCCCACACTGACTGGGACTGCAGAGCTGGCCCGTCTTCAGGTCTAGTGACCAGGTGCTCCTTCCAGGGCCACAGTCCCTGCTGCCCTGCAGGCTGCACTCCCAGCCGCCCAGCCTCATGCTGGGTTTCCTGCTGTCCCACTGCACAGGGCAGGCGTGTGGGCTGGGCGTGGCGTGGAGAGGTGCAGGAGGGGAGTTACGAGTTTACAAACTACGCTCTGCACAGACGAGACTTCTGTTTCCAGGAAGGTGGAAGGTAGATCTCTTGCAAGCCCGCAGACAACGCAGCAGGAGAGAGGCAGAGACAGCCCCAGGACAACTCCACGGGAGCCCTGTGTTTCTGCCTCGTCATCCCCGACTTGGAGCTGACGAAGCCGGCACCCTGAACGCACAGGGCTCTCTCAAACGCCAAGACGAGAACGGGGTGGCCAGAGAGGCCAGGAGACAAGGAGGCAGGGGCTGCACCCAGAGCCTGGCTGGGGCTGGGGCCAGGACGCCCACCCTCGGGGTCAGAGCTGCTGGGCCCTCATGGCACCAGCACTGGCAACGCTCAGTAGTGCCTGTGCCTGCTCACACACCGACAGCTGCTGTCCTGAGCCTGCGTCCAGCGTCCAGCGTCCGCGCGTAAGGCCTTCATGGACTACAAGACCCAAAGATGACAAAGACCTCATCTGAACCCCTCATAGGCTGCCTGCACTGTACAAATGAAGTGCAGCTTTTCAATTTTTAATTTAATAAAGCTGGGAATTGGCGAGCTAACACCATCTGGGCCTGTAAACACACGTGTTTCTTCACTGGACACAGCAGCAACACAGCCACGGCCACAGTACCACGCCTGTCACTGGACGCAGCAGGCACATGGCCACGGCCACAGTACCACACCTGTCACTGGACACAGCAGGCACATGCCCGAGGTCACAGCACCACACCTGTCACTGGACACAGCAGGCACATGGCCACGGCCACAGTACCACTCCTGTCACTGGACACAGCAGGCACGTGCCCGAGGTCACAGCACCACACCTGTCACTGGACACAGCAGCCACACGGCCACAGTACCACACCTGTCACTGGACACAGCAGGCACGTGCCCGAGGTCACAGCACCACGCCTGTCACTGGACACAGCAGGCACGTGCCCGAGGTCACAGCACCACACCTGTCACTGGACACAGCAGGCACATGCCCGAGGTCACAGCACCACACCTGTCACTGGACACAGCAGGCACGTGCCCGAGGTCACAGCACCACACCTGTCACTGGACACAGCAGCCACACGGCCACAGCACCACACCTGTCACTGGACACAGCAGGCACGTGCCCGAGGTCACAGCACCACACCTGTCACTGGACGCAGCAGACACGTGCCCGAGGTCACAGCACCACGCCTGTCACTCACTGGTTCTCCTCCCAGCCATGTTCCACATGAAACCCAGGCCTGAGGCAGGGCAGCCTGACTGGGGGTTCCAGATGCCCCACTGCTGAATGACCACTGTGCATGGGGCCAATCCTCATCTTGTGGAAAGTTCTGGAATTAGATCTTAAATTGCTCTTAAAAAGTTATTTATTTATTCAAGAGGCAGAGAAAGAGAGCGCTTCCATCTGCTGGCTTACTCCCCAGATGCCCACAGAGCCAGGGCTGAGTTAGCCCAAAGGCGGGAGCCAGGAACTCAATCCAGGTCCACACGTGGGCGGCAGGGACCCAATCACACAACCACTGCCTCCCAGGGTGCACATGAGCGGGAAGCTGGAATCAGGAGCCAGAGCCGGGACTTGAACCCGAGCACGAACTCCCTGCAGCGAAAGTCCAGGGAGGCAGGGCTGGCAGGAGGGCCAGGGACCCTGTGCAGGGCCAGGGAGGTGGGGGCCGCCAGCTCGCTAGAGCCGATCTTGCCTCCAAGTCAGAAACCAGCCCTCACCTGCACACTACAGAAGCTACAACATGTTTTGTTGTTCAAAATGCTATTAATTTCACCCAGAAAGCAAGCAGCAAGAGGAGGCAGTTTGCAAGTCCTCGGGCCTTGCAATTTTGGTTTCAACACTTTTCCTTGAACAACTCGCTGAGTCAGACACCAACTTTGAATATTAAGATGGTCAACCTGTTTGAATTACGGTGAAATATTCCAGCTGCACCAGATGAACGTCAGGGCCCGAGCCTGGGGCCATGCCCGCCTGCCCCTCCCCCCAAGGCGAGGCCGCCGAGAGCAGTCATATCACAGCCTGCGTTTGGCCACGGCGGCACCGCTGTCCACTCTGGGAGACCACTGCTCGCCAGGCGGGGCACAGTGCGTTTCCTGTCTCCAGTTTTCTGCCGCCTGTCCACCCCAGGGACCTGAGGTAGGGGCCTGTCCTCCTTCCCCTCGGCCTCCCGGGCTGCAGAGTGCGTGGGCTCACAGGCGCCCACTCCCGGGCCTCCCCTCGCAGGAGCTGCCTCCTTGCAGACCAGGAAAACGCGTGCAGTTGGAGAGCCCGTGGAGGTGTCACTCACGCTTCAACCCAGTCGCTGGGGGACCGCCACGAGGCCCCTGGGAAGAGGACGCGGTGGACGCAGGGGGTGGACCTGAGCTTGTCTGTGCCACGGCCGCCTCTTCTTTGGGAACCCTGAAACGGCAAACACTACGACCCAGGGTCCCGAACCTCTGTCCCTTGCTGTGCTGGCCAGACCCTGACCGACTCGGACCCCTCTGGCCCTGCCCTGGGTTCAGGCTCCTGTGGTTTGTCTGTGCCTCCGAGGGAATTCGCCAGACCTCGGGGTGCGGGAGAATCAGAGCTCTCCGTGGGCCCAGCG